ATAATGTATTAGGAAAACCAACCCAAACAATTGTTGCATTAACTAAAGAGAATGTGCATACACATCCATATTTGACCTATATGCAAAAATTGAATGAAATATAGAGGAAATAAAGGTTACTATTTTCCAAAATTTCTGCAATGTAATATTAGTACTGAAGTCAAAACACTTACCTGCAAAGTAAAAACAGCTTGAGGTATTTCCATGATCACATGTAAAAACATATCAAGTGAATTGGGGTTCCTGACTGCAACATCTTAACCAAATGGAAAGATGAATTTTAAATTCTCCTACCTGACCTCTTCAGACATGAGCATAAGTAAGACTTCAAAGGTGAAATCAAAACTAAGCTTGACAAAGAACTATACTGGATAAATTATATACATGAACCACCTCACCAAAGATGGTACTTTAAGCCTTTACACATGACACATGACAATGATGAAGTGTTTTATTTAGATTTGGTCTTTCTTCATTTTTTCATAACTTTGAATCCTGAAGGTTAGCAAATCATTATACTCATACATCTTGTAATTCCTCTCTTTACACAATAGGCACACATATACAGCACGTATGTCAATATAATATTTATCAACACAGCATAAACATTTAAGCAGCAGACACATTTCACATGATAGAGGCTCTATGCATATGGGCTGTCCCATCAAAAAGCAAACATTAGAATGCCATTTCAGTAGTTACAGTGCTGACATGATCAATAAAGTTAATTTGTTTTATAACCATCATATATTTTCATAAGTCATCCATAGGAATGAAGTAAAGGACAAAGACTTTTTTAAATAAAAAGTGGTATGCCAACCTCAAAAATGACATACTAACCAGACATCGGCATTCAAAAGCTAGGCTGAACAGAACTGGCCTTGATGTACATGCGGTAAGTTTGTTTTCAGAATATAAAATTAAATGGTAATGTCAGCAGTATTACTACTGTTTCTATATTTATGATTAATTACTAGCAATACAACTCCCAGAAGGAAGGAGATGGATCCAGTGGTGATATAAGCAATTCCCAAAAATGGATTTTTTCCTCCCATCCATGAAATAGTGCTTAAGATCATCCGTTTTCGTCCATCAAAAGAATGTACAGGGTAATCTGAAGAGTGAATAGGAAAACTTTTCCATGTTCAGTGACTTTATTTTTAAAATACACCTTAAAAAGTTAGCATTTAATTGCTTGTAATTCATTGGCATAATTCTATGATACCCAGGCACCTTACTCCCATGTTCTGAATCATAAAATAATTGTGTAATATTTATCTTGAAGAACTGGTTTAGCAGATTAAATGTTAGCAGGATAGCCAATATAGTTTGCAAGAAAAAACAGCCAAATTTAACAGTTATATCGGTTCTCAGATACTTGTGCCCTTATTACACAGGAGGGGCAAAATGCCAAAAATAAATGACTAGAAGGATTAAAGGGGAACAGAAGGGGTCTATGTAGTATTTTCAACAATAAATATTTAAAATAAAAATGTCCCTAACCGGTTTGGCTCAGTGGATAGAGCATCGGCCTGCGGACTGAAGGGTCCCAGGTTCGATTCCGGTCAAGGGCATGTACCTTGGTTGCGGGCACATCCCCAGTAGGGGGTGTGCAGAAGGCAGCTGATCGATGTTTCTCTTTCATAGATGTTTCTAACTCTCTATTCCTCTCCCTTCCCCTCTGTAAAAAATCAATAAAATATATTTTTTTAAAAAATGAAAAAAAGAAATATAATGTGAAAAAATATTTCAAATAAATACTAGTAGCAGTTAAACCCTCAAAGAGGAGGTTGACAGACCAAGAGACAAGGAAAAGATGAAGGGATCAGAAGTCTCTGTAAGCTCAAAGAGCATGTGTAGCAAGAGAGTAGTTATGAGAATATGAAAAGACTCTAAGAACAGGGTAAAAAAGCATTATACTAAAGTCTTAACTTGCTGATTTGGAGTAATGATAAAATTCATGGTGTGACACAGAGAGGTGATGGCTAAAACAGAGTGGAAGTGAAAGGTGGGTTGTTAAAGAGATTTATGAGATGAGACGCCAGTTTACTGGATGAGCATGGATCAGTTCCAGGATTGTAGCAACAGGTCAGAAAAGGGGACAACTAAGTCCTTATGTAAAAGATTTACAACCTTTTCACAAGCGGCTTTTGAATCAAGTATTGTGCCCCATCTGTTTCTCTGGGCTCCTGTAACTCTCCAAATGACTCCAAATGGCACGTTTAGCTCTACTAGTTTCTTAAATCAGTTCACACTGATTATGAGAACTCTAACTAACCCAGAGCTCTGAGGAGTACGGTCTCAAATCACCCATGCGAGTATCTCCCAGTATCACAAACCTAAAAAATGGGCTTCTGCCTTAATTCTAATATCTAGTTCCTACCTTATACCTAGTTTTGATAATTAACCCTTGATATTTTGCAGGCCCATCTTGTCAATCTTCAATATATCCTGCATTCTCCTGACAGTTCTCCTCTCCATGCCTGGGATGCAAATTCTCAGCTGAGAATTCCTGAGTGTTCACTCCAAAGACTTTCCTTTATTGTAGTCTGGAGGCTTCAGGTTTGGATACTGTTACCAAGTTTTTGAAAGTATGTCCCTGTAGGAGCAATTTTGGGCAGACAGAGCCAGTTCAGGTGCTAGTAGAAAGAGCATTATCTTGATATTGAATGCTGCCCTGTACTTTGGCTACACTGGTCTTCCCATTAAGCTCAATTACAGTCAACCATGTAAAAATATCTAGCTTACAAATAAATTCAGAACCTACATTTTAAGTAATTTTAAAGCATTATCTTGAGACTGTAGCCAAAGTAGAGGGCAGCTGTTCAGTATCAAGATAATGTTCATTCTACACAGCCGTGGGCAAACTACGGCCCGTTTGAAATGAATAAAACTAAAAAAAAAAAAAGACCGTACCCTTTTATGTAATGATGTTTACTTTGAATTTATATTAGTTCACACAAACACTCCATCCATGCTTTTGTTCCGGCCCTCCGGTCCAGTTTAAGAACCCATTGTGGCCCTCGAGTCAAAAAGTTTGCCCACCCCTGTTAACTAGCACCTGAACTGGGTCTGTCTGCCCAAAATTGCTCCTAGGGGGACCTAGTTTCAAAAACTTGGTAACTTTTAATCTGTCATTAGCAAACATTTAAATGCTAATATTTAAGAAACTTTTCATTCATAAGATATAAAATGAACTAGAGATTTAAAAATGTAAGGACTTTGTTTTGAATAAAAGGTAGTGCTCAACATTTCCGTCTTAGGAAAGACTGCATCTAGGCTGGTATGGACTGGTTTAAACTAGCTAGGGATGGTGATTGACGGAAAAGTCATGGCCTTTGGGGTCAACAGCTTGACCATGAGCTTCAACTCTTCTACTTATTTCCCGTGTAATCTCAGGCAAGTTACTTAAATGCTCTATGTTCCTGTATCCTTGTCTATAACATGGAGGTGACAACTACTTCATAAAGCTTGAATTTAAGTAAAATAATGCATGGAAAATACTTAGTACAATGTTGACACAGTCAGATTGAAATGAATATTTATCAGCACTGAAAATTACATCTCAATTATTAATGTGGCAAAATACAGCTAATGATAAAAATGTTTTGTACTATGAACAGAGCAATAGTTAGAAACAATTATGTTGATATTAGTTAACATATCTGCTGATTTTTAATATGTAAAAATATATATTAAAACAGCTTGTAGCCCAACCGCCATGGCTCAGTGGTTGAGCATCGACCTATGAACCAGGAGGTCACAGTTCAATTCCCATTTAGGGCTTATGTCCAGGTTGTGGGCTTGATTCCCAGTAGGGGGCGTGCAGGAGGCAATGGATCAATGATTCTCTCTCATTGATTTTCCTCTCTCTCGCCCTCTTTCTTCCTCTCTCTGAAATCAATAAACATATATCTTAAAAAATCAGCTTGTACCACCAACACTTATTTATTATTAGGTACATTCACTGGCCTTCCCATTAAGCTCAATTACAATCACCCTTGTAAAAATATCTAGCTTACAAGTAAACCCAGAACCTACATTTTAAATAATTTTACCAAATAATATGCTTAAACCCTTGTACAAAGTATATAAAAATTAAAGATATTTCTGGAAGGCATAAAAGATACTTACCCATACATACACTCCTATAAAAATGGAGAGATCATAACTCAACACAAAGTAGCATACCACATAACTAAGATATGGCTGGACTACACTCCTTTCCAATTCTATGAATATGTGCTCGTGGCCAAAAAAGGATACTGTATTTGATATTCAAAAAGTAGTCTCCAGCTGGTAACGTTGGATGTAAATCACTTTTCCGCTCTATAATACGATATAACTTACGAAAAGTAGGCAATGCTGCAGTACGCATCCAAACAATAAAATCTTCATTTATGAATCCATTATTATCTTGGTCAGAATCCAGCAAGTATACTGGGTTAACCCAGTTTACTGGCTTTGTTGTATCTTAAAAAGGAGGGGTGGGAGTGGGAGAGACAAAATATTCTATTAAGAGTTTCACTGAAAATTCACACTCTAATAAAACAAAGATATATATTACACAATCAGAATATTTTTCTCATTTTCAAAGGTTTGAATACATTCATATTCTAAGGAAGTCTTATATCAAGAGAGAAACCAATTCCTGTTGTAACAACTTAACATAATTACAAAGATTTAATATCTCAATTAAGAGAATACTAAAAGGCCCTAGCTGGTTTGGCTCAGTGGATAGAGTGTTGGACTACGGACTGGAAGGTCCCAGGTTCGATTCCAGTCAAGGGCACATGCTTGGGTTTCAGGTTCAATCCCCAGTAGGGGGTGTGCAGGAGGCAGCTGATCAATGATTCTCTCTCATCATTGATGTTTCTATCTCTCTCTCCCTCTTCTTTCCTCTCTGAAATCAAAATATATATAAGAGAGAATACTAAAAGTGAGCTGTTGAGTATATACCAAAAGGCAGATAATTTAATGCAAAGATATAGTGGTATGAAACATTACATTGTGAAATTGAGATATAGAAACAAAAGTAAATTTGGATCTATAATTATAATAAATAATAGGGGTTTGTTAAAAAGAAACTTCATTGCAGTTTTAAAAGATTATGGGTAAAATGCTTATAAGAAAATACCAGAGAAGTTTAAGATTAAAAGTTTACATTTCCTTTAGAATTTCAGTACATTAGAACAGACTACATACTTTTACCTTACTATGTATGAAGTTAAGAAAAGTAGCTGTTTTCAAAAAGCATAAACATCTTCTGAGATTCGAAAGATTGAAAATTTTAGGTACTTTATTAAAACTTCTAGCTTATATCATGTTTTAAAAGGATATTAGTAATATTTTACCTTTGAATCGTTCTTCTAGGGGGCCTTCTCCAGGGGGATTTCTAAATTTCACATTTTTATCTGTCCACCAAGCAATACCTTTCTTTTTCAAAGGAATTGCCGTTGAAAATGATCCATTGACAACCAGAAACAATTCTAATGTATCTAAACATAAGAAAAGGAAGATATTGCTAAATATTGAAAATCCATAATACCCGCTTTACTCTATGAGAAATGAGGATCTGGTATTTGCTCCCAAAAGTGGTGGTAACAGAGTAGGCATATGATGTATATTTGCTCTTGATTATTTATATGTGAATTAGCAATTAAAAATTTATAATCCCAGATGGACTTTTCTTTCATCACTCAATACAGTTCTAGGTTAATTTCCTATTTGGCTGATAGGTGATAAGGTCAAATGTTTTAATATTAAACCAAATAAAATTATTTGCAAGGTAAATCTGCCTCTTCTTTCTTTTAAACATGCGTTCATAAATAGTTAATGGTTTGTGCATTTCTCTATCTGCACTGTCCAATATAGTAGCCAGTGGTTACATGGCTACAGAGCTTTTGAAATGACAGCTAAATGAATGTTTTGTAAATGTATATCAAAGACTTAGTATAAAAAATCCTATATAATAAAAGCCTAATATGCTAAGTGTCCAGTTGTCCATTCAGCCAATCAAAACGTAACATGCTAATGATATGCTAAGGCTGCTCAACCGCTCGCTATGATGTCCACTGACCACCAGGGGGCAGACAGTACCAGGGGGAAGATGCTCCAACCGGTAGGTTAGCTTGCTGCTGGGGTCCAGCCGATCCAGATTGAGCAAGACAGGCCAGGCATGCCCTGGAGCCCTCCTGTGGGGTCCCTCCCGCTGGCCAACCTCCACATCCCTCCCCAGCCCCGATTGTGCACTGGGGTCCCTCAGCCTGGCCTGCGCGCTCTCACAATCTTGTACCTCTCAGAGGATGTCAGAGAGCAGGTTTCGGTCCGAACCTGCAGGCTAGGCCAAGGGACCCCACTGGTGCACAAATTCATGCACCGGGCCTCTAGTAGAATATAAAATATCTTATCAACAACTTTTATATAATGCATATTATTTATATGCTGAAATGATGTTTTGAGCTTATTGGGTTATATAAAATATATTATTAAAATTAATTTCACAACCTCTCCAACATGTTATTATTTGTCTTATTGATAACAGCCATTCTAACAGATATGAGTTGGTATCTCATTGTAGTTTCAATTTGTATTTCCCCGCTAGCAAAGTTGAGCATCTTTTCATATATCTGTTGGCCATTTGTATGTTTTCTTGGAAGAAGTGTCTGTTCAGGTCCTCTGCCTATTGTTTGAGTGGGTAATTTTGTTGTTGTTGAGTTCTATGAGTTTTTTATTTATTTTGGATATTAATCCCTAGTCAGAGCAAATATCTCCCATTGTTTGCAAATACCTTCTCCCATTCAGTTGGCTGCCTTTTTGTTTTGCTAATGGTTCCTTTTGCTGTGCAGAAGCTTTGTAGTTTGATAAAACAGAACCCACCATCACTGCTGGTGGGAATATAAACTGGCATAGCTACTAAGGAAAACAGTATGGAGGTTCCTTAAAAAATTAAGTCTGGACTTACCATATAACCCAGAAACCCTTTTCTGGGTATCTACCCCAAAAATTTGGAAACATTTATTCACAAACATATATGTACCCCTATATTCATTGCAGCAATATTCACGGTGGCCAAGACATGGAAACAACAAAGTGTCCCTCAATAGAAAATTGGATAAAGAAAATGTGGTACATATATACAATGGAACACTATTCAGCCATAAAGAAAAGATGAATTACTGCCATCGGCAACAATGTGGATAAATCTTGAGAATATCATGCTAACATGAAAGAAGTCAGAAAAAGTCAAGAACCATGATTTCACTCATATGTGGGATATAAAACTGAAAGCAACAAATGAACAAATAAAACAAACAAAAACTCATAAACAGACAACAATATGGTGGTTAACAGAGGAAAAGGGTGTAGGGAGTGGTAAAGGTTAAAGAGGATCAAATATATGGTGATAGAAGGATATTTGACTTTGGGTGGTAAATGCAATATAAAGATGATGTATCACAGAACTGTATACTTGAAACCTATATAATTTTATTAACCAATATTACCTCAATAAACTTAATTAAAAATTAATTTCACTTATTTCTTTTTATTATTTTTAATGTGACTACTAGAAAACTGAAAATTATATGCATGTCTCACATTTATGGTTCACATTATATTTATAATTATACAGTGCTGCTCTAAATGATCAACTGTAGCATCTTTTTAATGATATAAATATTAAAAGTTGGTGGGAAAGGTAACCTAGCTTTTATTTTATCATATATGAAATAGGAAAGCACAATGTCCCTGCTTATTTCTTCCCAGAAACAAAAATTCATCCTTAAAATATAAGCATTCTCAGAAGAAAGTCACAAAGCATTATAATACCCCACTGAATTACTAATTGATATATAGGGTATTCCCAAAAAATGTATGCACACACTTTGAATAATTATAAAGGCGGTGTTTATTAAAATACATTTCATGTTGAAAACTGAGCTATCAGCTGTTAAAGTATACATACATTGTTTTGAGACACCCTGTATTTATCTTAAGATTGTTGAATTTCTCAATTTCATTCATGTTTACTAGACTATTAAATCTGTAATCCTATATAATAAAAGCATAGTATGCAAATTGTCCCCTCAACGGGGAGTTCGTCTGGGAGTTCGACCAGGGGGTGGGGCCAGCCGGGGGAAGGGAGGGAGGCCCTGGCTGGCAGCGAGCAGCCACTAGGGACCCTACCAGTGCACAAATTTCGTGCACTGGGCCTCTAGTAAGATTATATAAAGTTTCCTAATTTTATGTCTATATCTTTGTATTTATATCATACCATTAAACATGCTGTTGGCAATAGCTCCACAAGGAGCAATTGGTTTGTCTTCATTTCTTCGATAAGGCTCACATTCCTTACTGGGATTCTGATATTTAGAAGGAAAAGAAAAGAGAAATTATTACCCAGGCCTCCAAGAGAACTATGAGCTAGGCTCCTATTACTGATTAAAAATTCAATCCCTACTTGCTTCTCACTTGCAATGTATACAAAATGAGTCTGTATTTTAAGTAGACTATAAATAACACTACATTTAAATACTAAAATACATTCCTTAACATTACTGCATTATCATTTTAATGTAACTTTTCCTTGCATATATTTTGTCATACAGGTATATACCAAATTGACATTTTTTATTTTCATATCAACAAAGAAATCATAACCACAAGAAGTTTTCTGTCCAAGAAAAATTAAGAAGCAATCTACTGTCAATCTAGTTGTGACATAATTGAAGGGGTCTTAAACTGGAGGTAAAGAGACTGGAGATTATAGTTCCAGTTGTGTACTATGTGACTTTGGGCAAGTCCCTTGATTTACCTGTGCTCACTTATAAAATTAACAGGATTAATTCAAAATTTGTGATTCTGAGTTAAATCCCCTGTCAAGGGAAGGAAAAAAGAAGGAAGGGAAGCAAAGAGGGAGGGAGGAAGGGAGGGAGGGAGGGAAGGAGGGAAGGAAGGAGGGAGGGAGTTGGCTTAATGCAGATTCCTAGAATATAACTATCTTTTCTAAACTGTGCATCCAGGTACAAGGAAAACGAAAATGCTGGCTAGGCAAGAAGCATTAGTCCCTATTGAAGATCTCAAGGACATATGGCAGTTGCAGGGTTAAATGAAGATTCTACCAAGTAGAGATTAGTTGTATATATGAGTTGTTCTGGGACTCCAAGGCCACATTAAGCCATTTCTCAAAACAATCTCACATGATGCTTCTCTCTTCTCTCTCTCTCTCTCTCTCTCTCTCTCAAATCAATAAAAACATTTTTTTAAAAAGTATAAAACAATGAGCCTAAAGTGTAGGTTGATATCATATTATGAAGTCTTACACACAATGTTAAGTAACTTGAACTTCAATCTGCCCATTTTTGAAATCTTTAAGATTTTTGAAAATCACCTCGTCTTAAATTCACACAGTTTGGCCCTGGTTGGTGGTTAGAGTCAGACCATGGACCAAAGGTCACGGGTTCAATTCCCCGGACAAATTCCCTCCCCACCCCCAGGGTCTTAAATTCACACAGTTTGGCCCTGGTTGGTGGTTGAAGTCAGACCATGGACCAAAGGGTCACAGGTTCAATTCCCCGGACAAATTCCCTCCCCACCCCCAGTTGGGGCGTGTGCAGGAGGCAACCAGTCAGCGTGTCTAACATCGATGTTTCTCTGTTTCTGTCTCCCCCCTTCTCCCTCCCTTTCATTCTCTCTGAAGATCAATGGAAAAAATATCCTTGGGTGAGGATTGGAAAAAAAAAAAATTCACACATTTTGGTACAGACCAGGGACCAATAAATGACAGCAAGCAGGCAAAATCCAGCTTACCACCTGTATTTGTAAATAAAGTTTATTGGAATACAGTTACACCCATTCATTTAAGTATTGTCTATACCTGCTTCCATTCTACAATGGCAGAGGTGAGTAGCTGCTACAGAAACCATATGACCTACATAGCTGAAAATATTTATCATCTAGCCCTTTACAATAAAACATTTCATCAATTCCTAGTCTAGTCTAAAATCTTTGCTTGCAGTTTGTAAAAAAAGAATCAATCTCAGCTTCTTTCACCCTCAGTGAAATGAGTAGATATCTAAATAAAATAATTACAAATCAACTACCACTTTGGGTCTCTGAACACAATCTATGTTCCCAATCAACAAATTGAGAGAGGCCTAGGAAGTTGGTATGTCTCAAAGAACATCACCTTCACTGGATTTGAGTTCTAAAAATTGGATCCCACAGAGTAAATCCCACATAAATTGTAAAATATTACAGCCCTAACTAGGATCTTTAAACAGACTTGCTATTTCTTAAGAACCCAAACATCAGGAACTAGCAATAAAACCAGTAGGGCAATGGTTTACCAGAACCATTCTGGTCACAATATGATCCTAAATTACATTCTAAGAGATTCACCGTTTGTAAGAGATCCTAGATTGCTCTTGGACTCTGATGGTTTGTTGGACTGGCAGCAATAACATAAATACTTACTTGCACACCAACCACTACTATGAAAAGCTGAACAACAGTCAGAAGACTAAGATCCTCTAGTCTATCGATTCCCAAACCAGGCTGGGCATCAGAAAGGGAGCTTGTTAAAATATACATTTTAGAGCTCCACCCTTGCAGACACTAACTTGCTATACTTAGAATTCTGAAATCTATATTTTCAAAAAGTTCCTCAGACAATTTTTCAGTAACCCACCCTTTGGACTTTACTACTCAGGCTTCCCACAAGTCAAAAAATGAAGAGCATACATGTTCCATTCTAAAACACAATCTCAGAAATTTAAAAAGGTAGCTTATTTACATATTCTTAGTGTGATAATAACTGATAAACCCAAACAGAACAAATTACATACCCAGAATGCTAGACTTGTCAAAATTCCATTACAAACAGATTAATAAAGCAAAAATCCCAAGAACACTATTAGAAACAAGCAGGTAGTAATTTGTCTTCTGGCTGTGAGAAATCATTAATCTTTGTAAATTCCAGGGGGAACATTTTTTAAATAAAAACCCTCATTAAACAAACTATAAATGGCAAGTAAAAGTCTAATATATCCTAGCATTATTAAAATTAACTTTTCTGGCTGCTCTGCCTGTGAAGTAGCCTTCTCTCTATTCTACTGCTTCACTAATAATCTCTTTCACTTTAAATTCTTTAAAAATTTTTTTAACATTTCTAACTAAACAATTAGCACATTGTTTCATAGAAAGCACATTTTCATATTTCATCATTTTACTTACAAGTAAAGCAGTAGGATCTCCATTTAGTTGACTATCATCTCGAGATTTCACATAACGACGATGGTTTTGATAGAAATTAGACAGTCCATAATACATAAATACATTGCCCTACAGGAACAGAAAGGGAAAATTTTTTCACATAAAACTATTAAGTATAAAACTGTGTCATGCATACATAAAGGCTATATAATTTTGGACTGTACTAGTTTATGAAAACTTAAAAAACAGGTACTGGGGTGAACTCTACCAGTACTTGGCAATCTAAAACAACACAAATTGTAAGTAAGGTTAAAGAAAGTATGTTGCAAAAATCCAAGGATAAACTTTGAAAATATCCTTAAAGACTTCAAAGAAGTGCTATTTAGATTTAAAAGAACACACACACACACACACACACACCCCTATTCTGATCTACTTTCAACTTAAAATTTTCTCTAATTCAGATTGGTCTACCCAATGAGCACTTACCGCCCAAGTAATTCTGAACTTGAGCTGAGTCATAATAAATTTCTCCACAGAATACTACATAGTAGTAGTAATTATTAAATTAATAATTAGGCCCAGCCGGGTGTAGCTCAGCGGTAGAGCGTCGACCTAAGAACCAAGAGGTCACCAGTTCGATTCCTGGTCAGGGCATATGCCCAGGTTGCGGGCTTGATCCCCAGTGGGGGGCGTGCAGGAGGCGGCCGATCAATGATTCTCATCATTGATGTTTCTCTCTCTCTCTCTCTCTCTCCCTTCCTCTCTGAAATCAATAAAAAATATATATTAAAAAAAAGACCACAAAAAATTAATTAATAATTAGTAAAGTATCTAAAATAATGTGTCACTTTGTAATAATCAAGAAAAGTACTTTAATGTATTCAATGGAGCCAAATTAGAAATAACTTGAGTAAGAACAGTAACCTACATACACTACAATTATTCACAAGATGCCATCTTGAATGTAAGATTTTTTTAGAGGTAGCAAAACATGACACGATTTTCTACTTTCTGGTTGCTACCTCTATTATCTATAATCTTACCCTCAATTAAAAGAAATTAAAGAAAAGGAGGGATAATAGTGACAGAAGGAAAACTGACTTTGGGTGGTGAACACACAATACAATATACAGATGACGTATTATAGAATTGTACACTTGAAACCTATATAATTTTATTAACCAATGTCACCCCAATAAATTCAATACAAATTTTAAAAATTAAAACTAAATAAAAGGAATTAAAGGATGAAAGGAATCCAGGAAAAAGAGAAATTCAATAACATTTCAGATATGCTTTATTTGATTTGCTATTTTCATATACATAATCATTTATTTAGAGCTTGATTTTCAAATGTAAAATGTTTGCAAATTCTTATTCTATATAAAGAAAATGTTTACATGAAAACTATTTACTTACTTTATTTTTTGTTATGAAAATTATATCACAGCCCTGGCTGGTTTGGCTCAATGGTTAGAGGTTCAACTGCCAGGCAAGGGCATATAACTCAGTTGAGGGTTTGCTCCCCATCCCAGGAGGGGGTGTGTGCAGGAGACAACCAGTCGATGTGTCTCTCTCACATGGATGTCTCTCTCTCTCTCTCTTTCTCTCTCTCTTTCACTCTCTTCCCCTCCCTCCCTCCCTTCCTCCCTTCTCCTGCATCTCTTTCAATCTCTCTACAAAAAGAAAAAAGAAAAAAATCAATGGAAAAAATATTCTCCAGTGAGGATTTGAAAAAAAAATTATATCACAGAAACAAAGAAAACGCTTTAAAAAAAAGTATCATCTCAATTAAGAAGTACAATAAATTCAACTTACAAACTGAAAAAGAAATTATTTTAAATGAATACTGAGACAAAATAACTTACTTGAAGTTTTCTGAAAAGGCTTTAGTGCAATTCAAATGGTTGGAGACCACAAAATAATGAATCTGAAGATGATCACATTTGCAGAAGAAATGTTCTAAAATAACTGTGTGTTTTTTTGTTTTGTTTTTTTAAAATATATTTTATTGATTTTTTACAGAGAGGAAGGGAGAGGGATAGAGAGTTAGAAACATCGATGAGAGAGAAGCATCGATCAGCTGCCTCCTGCACACTCCCACTGGGGATGTGCCTGCAACCAAGGTACATGCCCTTGACCGGAATCGAGCCTGGGACCCTTTAGTCCCCAGGCGACGCTCTATCCAGTGAGCCAAACTAGCTAGGGCTAAAATAACTGTTTTTAATGGGGGGAAACTAATGTAGCTTCTAAATCATTACAAGTCTCTTTCAATGCTTTAATTCTGCCTGTTCTGACAAAAAGAACTTAATGCATCTTTATAATTTGTCCATCACATTGAAAAATAATAGAATTTCTATGGTGTTTTCAATTTATATGTTATTTCTGCTGAAACAAAGTAAAATAATCTGCCTTCTCCCAAATTCAGTTTCTTCTTTTTATAAAAAGGCAACATTTTCCTTTATTTTAGTGTAAGAGCTACTACAACCACTAGATGGCAATCATCTACCAGGGACTACAAAAGTCATTACTACCTTTCAGAAAACTCAAGTGTAGAAAAACATAAAAAGTTGGCATGTATTAAAGCAGTTTTGCTCCCTAAAAAATAAAAGAATTCTTAAGTTCAATTTTCATGTAAAGAAGAGCACAAACTGGTCTTGCCATTTGTCCTTTCTGCTGTTTCCCAGATTGCTAGATAAGTGTGAATACAAAAGACAGACAGACCACACACACACACAGAAATGTTGTTCTAACTGCTTATTAAGACATAAAAGGTCAATAGTTTCACTAAGTGTTTGTATTTATGGTAATGGTTCATATCTGATAGAAAAATAATACCGTAAAATAATGGGTGAATTAG